GAATAAGGCGTCGCCATACTCTGTCTGCGTTCATTGGCATTCCAGTTTGCTCCAGGTGCACGATTCGAGAAGATATGGCATTGAGTGTATCGCGGCAACTTCTCGAGTTTTCTTGTGCCCTAGGCAGATGCTCAATCTCGTTTATTAAGATGTCCGCTATGCCTGATGATCTATCGAACTGTTTCTTAAGTATATTCAGAGCGACGCTGTATTTGTCACCAATGACTGGAATGCTGTTGATTGAAGCAGCTGCCTTTCCTTTTAGTGCTTGTTTCAGAAAAAGGAATTTTTCTTGGTCACTCAAGTCCGTATCTTTGTGTATGAGGGACTCGAAAGACTGACCAGAAGGTATTGAACTCCCTGAAGTCTCCAGAAAAGGTTGGGACTTCGAGCAGAGGGCGTCGAACTCGTATGTTGCGGTCGTATGGATTGACAGTGTCACCTCCGCTGTGAGAATTGTTCTGACTGCTACCAGCCTGGTTGGCAATGCTAATGGCTTCCGCTATGAATGAAGCTTGCTGCATCAACTCTTCCTTTCTGAAGTCGATCTTGCTCAGCCATTGTATTATTGTGATTTCCAGACCATTTGATTCGAGCTCCATGTGGTTGTTAAGCTCGAGCATCAGCTTTTCTCGATCCTTCTGCTCCGATCGTGAACTAATTGTTTCGATCGCTTTGTCAAGACAGGTATCGTGGAGCTGCTTCGCCTTAGTGATCGTTGTTATCAAGTGGTTTAGCTGTGCTGTCTTTTCTCTTATATACACCTCGCATACCTCCTTTTGAGTTGGGAATATGAACGGGTTGTCCAAAAGCTTGAGATCTGACTCGCTTGAACGGATCAGCTTGCATGCATTCGTGATTCTGGTCTTAAACAATTGAATCTCAGCCATTTTTAGTGCTGGGGTTGTTTGAGATCGGTGGTTGTTGTTTATGCTTAGATTTGAGCACAAGTTGTTCGAAACCAGTGAGCGTCTAAACTGTTTGAAGCTTGAGCTCAGTTCGATATTTCTTTTGAAACACCTTGGTTTCGTGTAGGATGAATTTCCTGCCACGCGGGTCTTTTTGAGTTCCTCAGGGAGGAATTAGTGTGAAAACTTGACTTTTTGACTAGTGATGTAGTCAAAAGTTTGTCGAATTTCCGTGTTCCTCAGGGAGGACTTGTTCGAAAATTAGGTTTCTTCTGTTTTCTCACTGGGGAGAATTTGTGCAGAAGATGAGTATTGTTTCCCGGTTCCTTATGGAGAACTCGCAGGAAAATTCCCAAGTTTCTTTCCAATTTGCTTGGAAGAACTGGTTTTTCTGCCCACCTTTTCTCGTTGTAGAGAAGAAGCTTGGTAGGTCTTTATGTTCAAGTCCTACTTCCTTCTGGAGGAGGTGTAGGAGGCTTGAAGTTTACCTTTCTTTTCTTACAAGAAGAAAATTTGCTTGAAAGGTTTTTTGTTTCCAGCTGGTGGAAAACAATGGAAGTGTCCTTCTGTCTCTCACTGGGAGAGCTAGCGCAGAAGGTTTAGTCTGATTTCCGTATTCCTCAGGGAGGAATAACTTGTGAAATTAGACTTTTTGACTAGTGATGTAGTCAAAGGTTTGCCAAAGTTCCGTTCCTCAGGGAGGAATTGTGAGGAAATTCGGCTGGTTGATGAAGTAGTTCACCTTCTGTCTTTCACTGGGAAAGCTAGCGCAGAAGGGATCGTTTCCAACGGTCGATGCACCAATTTGGTGGATTACCAAAGGAAGACTGTACTAAGGACGTGCAACAAGGATTTATTACTACGTTTAGCACAAGTATCGACCACAATAATACATTCACGGGGTTTATATACACAATATGTGGGCGGTCCTCAGATATCGTACCGTCGCTGGACCGTAGGGGGCCAGCGGTGGTACTCAAGTTTGGGGAATGAAAGAGCGGACCGCGCCGACGGCAGAACCTACTTGATTGCACACTTATGATACCGCCGGGTCATGCCTGCGGTATCATCTCAAGAGATACTCATATCAAGTTATGCCTATGGTTAATAAGTTGAACTAGCATGTTATCAATCATTTGTATGAATCCTAGTTCTATTAGGAGTTATAGGTTGTGTATCCACAACACTTTCATTGTAGCTCCTCCCTTAGTGGTTCTGTAATGTTTGGCTCAGTCTGGCCTGGCTGGTCTTTTAAAAGCACCCATGCTGTCGAAACCACTCCTGCATGTGAGAGGCCGATGCTTTGAGTCGCTGCTCTGCTGACAGACAAAGCCAGGTCGTGTGGCAGCCATGTCTACGGATACATAACATCTTCTAGAATCTAAGTCTATACTACGTATTCCTTAGTTCTCAAAGTCTAAGAAGAGCGCTCGCTGTGAAGTGGGTGGGAGTAGAATGTGATTGACTAAGCCTGAAACGAAGGTTGATACAGGTTTCTAAGGTCATCTGGAATGACAAAAACATATTACTGATGCATGACAGCAAGGATACTAGTAATGTACGCACCACGAGAGGGAACGTTTTGATCCAAAGAATCAGCTGCCAATTGTGAAACTTGGCGGAGGCTTGATAAGGTTGCCTTGGAAAAAAGTGGGACCACGCTACACGACTGAGGTAGCGATGAAGGCAGACGTTTGCTGTCATGTTTTGGAAGGTGTCATGTATCCGTAGGCATGGCTGCCGCACGACCTGGCTTTGTCTGTCGGCAGAGCAGCGACTCAAAGCATCGGGCCTCTCACATGCAGGAGTGGTTTCGACAGCATGGGGTGCTTTTAAAAGACCAGCCAGGCCAGACTCTTGAGCCAAACATTACAGAACCACTAGGGGAGGACCTACAAATTCGTATGTCAATGAAAGAGCCACGAAAAGACGGGACTACAGAGAGAGACCCCACTAGAGAGTGAGTTCATTAGTTGACCCCGCATTCAAATCCAGTTTATGTATCCAATACTTTAGAGAGTTCTGGGCAATGTGCTAGACTTGCTTAATGTTAGTGACTGTTTACTTGACTGTTCTGTTGGGTTATACATTATTTAAATCAAATAAACGGATCAAGTGATCTTTCACCTGCCTTCATTAATTTCGAAAAATCTAAAATTTTCTAAACCCAAATTTGAGCTGAAGGTTGAAATTTTCTGTGTGGATCATAAAACACGTAGTTAATAATTGTTGCAAATTTGGAGACGTTCCAGTGACTTTCAAAAGAGAAATCATGAAAAAACCGTTTGTTCATAAATTTCTGGCCACTACTGTATGTCTACTGCTTAGATAAGAGTGAATCCAATGTAGAATCGGTCCACAAATGTCTAGTCGACGTAAAGTAAAGGAGTTGATTATAAAATAATTTTAGGATTTTTTGGTCGAACCCTACACACTGTGAACTAAATCACATTGTTTGGTGGGATTCTTAACTGGAATGTGGGTTGAGCGACATGCCAGCTTCTTCCGTGGGATGTAGAACTCAATTAGACTTTAGATCTTGACTTGGTCGCTTCATAAAAGCACAGAGTATACTTGCACTTAGCCCAACCTACATTTCGCTGGATACCTAGAAAGCCCAACCCACATTTCGCTGGATACCTAGAACTGGGGAATCGCCGAATGGTCGGACACATCTTCATCCATGACAATACTTCCACTATTTCTGACTGTTGGAATCTTATACTCAAAATGAGGTTCCCATTTGACAAACACTTCACAGGGTCCACAACATCATTTCTAGGAAGACAGAAATCCCATTCGTCGCTGAGGACAAAGTTTCACCTCTCGCCTTCGGTCCATGTTAGCCGTTAGTGTGCGGAAAGCCAGCAGTATCGTGACGGCCGTTGAACGGAGACTTCTCGAAACGCGGATCCGTACCGAGACAAATCGCGGGGTGTGTGTGTAGGGCAATCTCGCAAACTTGCCAACCTAATTGCAATAACTTCACTTGAAGTACGCACCTGTGGCATTTCCTTGGCTGCGAGGCTGTCCACCTTTTTGACAAGGTGCTCCAGCGTCGTGTTTCACATTGACGCTAACTGTTCTGCTGCTGTGTTCTCATCCAACAGCAGACGCTCCAGATCCTTCTGGATTCATCTCGACAACAGACGACATGGTAACCTGCAACTCAGAAACTATCCGATCAGCTGTTTCTTTTCCAGCACGGATTTCTAAAGGCTCAGTGCAATACTATATGAATGTTCGTATATCACCGAATCGTAACGATCGATACGTTTGGACCCTTCCGCTGATAGGAGTACGCCCCGACTATAACAGTCAGTACAGCCAACAGTACTGCCTAACCGTTGAGTCGGAGGGGTACTCTGCCTACCCTCGGCAGGAGTCTCGCCTTCGCCGTTGTTACCGGCCCCGCAGGCGGTATCGATCCTCTGAGTCGGTACTTGGGTTCGGCCCCCAAGTTACGCGGAGCAGGCACTCAGATTTATTAGAAAGCTTCAACTGAACTGACAAAAGAGAATCATGGGTTTATATAGGCACGTGGAAGGCGGAAGTGATAAGATTGTGACGTGGCAGATGGTCGATCCTTCACGCTGACGTCATAAGCTTCCGACTCGGTGGCTAACAGGGAAAAACATGTAACAAAGAAAACGAAGAAAAACATCCTAGCTTACACTAGACCATAATGAATGTGGAATAGAGATTCGATCGGTCCACTGTTGATTGTGGGGAAAAAGCCGACCAGTCCATTTAGCGAAAAAGCGCAAAGCTCTTGCATGCTGGGAGGTCACACTTGATATAGCACCTTGTAGATCGAAGGCTCCTCGTGATTCTGCAGCTCACTTACCGTATAGTCTCAAAGAGCAAAGAACCCACATTCTTTCTGTAATTGACGTGCGTTAAAAAGCGGTTCCACGTTTTTCATTTTTCAAAACCAATTCTACTTTAGTAAAAGTAAGCAAAACCAATAAGTCCTCAAGTAAAAGGTAGCGTCAGCTACGCTAAGCGTTCTAAAAAACCCTTGTAACTGAGCAGGTGTGGTACGGAAGGAAAGCATTACGAGAAGGCAATAGGTAAAGGTCTGCTGTCTGCATGTTGAGTTTTAAGAAATCTCTCTAGGGGGTAACATTCCATACTGGAAAACAGAGTATTCAATGAGTGAGCGCATAAGTTTCGGTGGAGTGACAGACGCCTATTACATTTGCTGTTATATATTTTCCGCCCCTGTGCTTGTCTAACTATCCTCGCCTAAACCCCCCAGTCATACATCGGATACTCAACTCGTGATACCATGCCTACTCGCCTTGAAAATCCCCTGAACTTTTCACTAACCATACACCGCGTCTCCAACGGCGGACTGAATCGCCCCAAGAACAACATTAATTTCATTACTAGAGCCCTCCACTAATGCGGGACCTGAGCATTAACTAAGTTTGATAGCCCTTGATTTGTCATACATTCCGTCAATTTCACAAAATATTAAAAGCGCAGACAGAATAGAAGAATGAGCTGGAGGGCGTCCTACGACTGATACTTATTGAGAAGCTATGGCCATCCGCAACTTTCTTAACATTCGGTTTGAGAAGACTCTATCAGAAATGTAGGGAAGTCAATAACACGATATTGCTCTACTCCTCAAATACGAAAAGAGCAATCGAATATACTCAAAAGGAGAATGGAAGGGATATATATATATATATATTATAGCCTATATATATATATAATATATATACAGGGTGGCCAGAAATTACGGTAACAAGATGAAGGGGTCATAGGAAATCTGTACAACTAGAAAAAGATAGGTGGGAAACAAGAACGTGTTCACTGAAGGGTAATGAATGTAAAACCATATGGTCCTTCCCAGTAGCCCCTATCCGGTTTGAAAAAAGCACGAAGTCTTCCAGGGAATGCACTGACTGCGGCGTGTTGATGAGCGGCCCCGACCGCGTCCAGGCATTATGAAGCGGTTCCTTCAATCCCTT